AGGAAAAAAAAAAAAATGGGGTGGGGTGCGCGGAAGAATCTTTTGTTTTTTGTTTTTTTTCATATTTTATTTTATTTTTTATTCTTATTTTAATAATTTGTTTCTTCTTATTTTAATTATTTCTTATTCAAAATATCATATTCACGCTCGTTGTCCGCTTGAACTACACTCGTATTGTCCAGCTCAACCATTTTGTTGCCACATGTGCTTGGTCAACGGTCAGATGAGTTTAAAATATAGGTTTTGATCAAGTTAAAGTGTATGGATGAAACTTTGTAGAGTATAGGGATCGGGATGACAAACTGAAACAAGTACAAGTATCTAAGGGGCTATTCTGCCATTTTTTTAATTATCCCATGTTCTTTGATATATCAGTGTCAATTGCTGGAGCTCATTTTTAGAATTTTTACCCATTAAATAATAGTCTTTGAAATGCTGGATTGCCATTACTTTGAATTCTTTTTTTGGACTAGTTCATAGGATTGGAGATTATCTTGACTTATGCAGATAATTTGCACGAATGAAGTGATTTACTAATTAATAAAGATAAGCATTGAACAAGCTTTTTTTTTCTTTGTTAAAATGCTACTAAACTAGTGAAACTTTAGGGAATCTGTTAAGTCTACCCGGCATTGTTCATTGGGTAAACTTAAGGGATAAACTTTGTAAAGACTTAGGACCCGTTTGGCCATGAGTTTTGTCAAAATAAATTTGGGATTTATTTGGCAAACACATGTTTGGCCATAAATTTTGCCCACATTTTGGCAAAATCCCAAATCCAAAATTCCAAAATCACCTCAATTGCTGATTTTGGGCCAAAATATGACCGTTATATTTTTTAAATTTTTTAAATATTACCCTAAACTTTTATAGTTTGTAAAAGAGCCCACATTTATTATAACTAACTAAATATTTGATGAATATGCTCCCTTATCAGCTCAATACTTTGTGCATCTTACTTTTGCTTCTGATTTGTAGGCTAAACGGCTTTCTGAATACTCATATCAGTTAACTTTTTCTTTTTAATTAGGAGCCGTAATTCTCTAATGGGATTTCATTGTAATTAATGATTTATATAGTTCATTAAAAAAAAAAAAAATTTGTACCAAACTTATTTATGTTCAGGACTATGGTTTGCGATAATGGTACTATTGGGTATTTGTGATAGTTTTTAGAACTTGTGGGGTATAAGTCATGTTTCATGTTTTTTCAAATAAAAAGTGAAATATGTTTTGAAAAATCATGTCCAAACACATTTTCATCTTCGAACCAAACTTCACCCAAATCAGATTTTTCAAAACAAATTTGGGAATCTATGGCCAAACGCTAGCTTAATCTTCCTCACTGTCCGGCACTACTATGTCTTCATCTATCTTCTCCTTCTTCCTCATATTCATCCTCATCGATAAATAGTCCCCAGTTATCAGTCAAGTCTTGAATTACTTGGGTAAAGTTAAATGTAGCACTTGTGTCTCGGCTGCAATATGGCACTAAACAATCCAATGTCTGTGGTAATTTTTGATGAATCTGTTTGTCTGAAAAGTTGTTGATATGAGAGCAATGTCATGCACCGGCCATTGCTGGAATGATGGTTGAATAATTGGCGTTGTAAAATGAGGTCGTCCTATCATTGCAAATCCATAATTCTGAGCAAGTAAATTCATGTGATAACTATGCTGACCACTCATTTTAAAAATGTTGTTTCTATTTGTTGATTCAGTCTTTGACGTACATCTCCAAAAGGCTTATATCATAATCTTATCCGCAAATTTTTGAGGCATAGTAAAAAAATATTGCAATGACTGATCATTCTCACTTTTTAACTCGATGAAGCTTGTATTGTTACCTTGAAATGAACTTGGATATTTTCCTGAAATTGAAACTTTAACATCATCACTGTTTGTTCCCATTTTCTCAAGCAATAATGCAACCAACTGAACATAATTCATTGAAATGGACATGTTAACAATCATTCTGGCACATTCATCAGTATACCGAAATCCGTTCATNCCCCAAAACCCAATATAGAGCAACCATCACATTGTGTTCAAAATTTGAAATCTTTACACTTATGAAAAAATGACGCATAAAAATTGATTACGTAAAATCGTAACAAACAAAAAAGAATATATTTTTGTAATAGATGACAAGAAACTGAATTATTTATTTAACCCATACCTTTTGAATTGCTTATGCATATGTAAAATAGGCAGAAGACTGGTTGAAGAAAATTTGGTGAGCAACAATTTATTAAATGATGCATTGTCAAATCATCCGAGGTCGAGATTGTACAGTGATAAAACTTTGCCGTAACATTTTAGGTTACAATAGTTACTGCCAGTAACATTATTACATAAATTCCAACTACACTCAATAACTGGTGTACGGCTAATTCTTAATTGCCAAAGAATCATTACTCTCAGTAACGCTATAAGAGAACGTTATTGATGGTTACAATTTATACCTCTGTTTGTTTCGTCAGCCGTTACTTTTTGCCATTAAATTTTTTGAATAAAATATTTCCTATTTCGTTACTGAGAAATACGTTTATATTATTTCGGTTAAACTTCAAGAAAATGTACTAGTTTGGTTAAGTGACTTAAATAATGGGTTAGTTAGGTTAAAATCAAACCAACTCATATAAACGATGATATCAAAGGCGAGGAAGAGACAGGAAACGATTTAAAATTGTGGTATGGAGTCATCATAAGTACCACTGTGAGATAAAGATCAAATACTGTCCAAACCTATATATACTTGTAATGTGAATCGTATTGCATCAGATGATACTTTCAATACATCTCTTACTCAAGGTAAACACATCACACAAAATCACTACAACTACAACAACATACCCAGTATTATCCCTCACCGTGGGGGTCTGGGGAGGGTATTGTGTACGCAGACCTTACCCCTATCTTGTGAGGATAAAGAGGTTGTTTCCAATAGACTCTCAGCTTAGGAAAGCATAAGCACCACATTAATAAAAATATAGACAAGAAGGGACAGTACCATCTCACAAAATCACTGAAATATAGAATAAAAACGATAAAGTGGAACTTCTGTGAAGTATCAGTGATCGCATTCGCCAATATTGAGATGAAATATAGCCAATCTAAGGGATATTCTGGCTCAGTGAAGCTGAATGCTAACAACGGAAATCGTCGTGTTAGATCAAGAAACAAGGTTTCATGGCCAAAAGATGAGACAGTGCCTTTACCAATGTTGCTGTAATTGTAAACTGTACCTCAGAACCAAATATCACTTGCAACATCGCATTAAAGGAACCATTTTATTCGAGCAATTTCAAACAACCAGAACTTAGCACTACAAAACATGGAAGAGGCCGCTACTAAAGAGGCCTACATTCTCAAATATGTAGAAAGCTGTGCTAACAGTAAACTAATAACAGAAAATGCCATGAGCCGTCTCAGAATTGAACATCCAGCCAACGTACACAACTGCATCACATGTTTGGATCTTTACCTTTGGAGTTATAAGTAGGAAATTTCATAAATAAAACAACGCAGATATATGTGGTTGTAACACAGGTAAAAGGGGCAGCCCGATGCACTAAGCTTCGGCTATACGCGGGGGGTCTAGTGAAGGGCCGGACCACAAGGGTCTATTGTACACCGCCTTACTCTGGATTTCTGCAAGAGACTGTTGTAACACAGGTAAGCATATAAGAAATCAACAAATTGAACATTACACTGAGTAGTAGTACTCCTAGCACTATCTGGTACTGTCCACAAAGCAGAAAATGATCCAAGTTATGAAAAAGAACCAAACACATTGTAGGTCACCACAATTGCAGTTCAATAAACTGATAGAGACAGATCGAAAAGGTCATCTTGTTCTGGTTTAAACTGTAGAAAATAGCTGAAAGAACCACCCAAACCTACCTACTTATGGCAGGCACACAGTCCACAGAGCACACAACATTTTGAATGTATTTGAAAGATTTGAAAGACTCTCCAAAATGATGTTACTCCCGTGTCGGATCCTATACTTTTGGAGGATCCGACACGCACCCAACAACAACAACAATATACCCCGTGTATTCCCACAAGTAGGGTCTGGGATGGTAGTATGTACGTAGACCTTATCCCAACCTGGTGAAGGTAGAGATGTTGTTTCCGGTAGACCCTCACCTCAATAAAAGAAAAATCATAGCAATTATGACAAATAACTACGAAAAGAGAAATAGTAACAACAGCCCAAAAAAAAAAAAAACTAATAGCGATCTAAAAATAGGGAACACAACACTAGTACTACAGCTATGAAAAGAAATACATATTTGAAAAAGAAATATGCTCGACTACTCGAGAATTTATAATTCACATCTTGGTTAATTACTTTTTTCATTGGCTGTATTCAAGAGTACCAAAGACGAAACTCGAAAACAAACTAAAACCATGTAAATCAGCAATCGACGAAATCCTAAGGCAAAAACAAAACGAAAAAGAACTACTTTTCGCGTTCAATTTCTTGTTCAGTAATTTTTCCAACACTTAAATAGTCTGATTATTTACCTTTGATTAAGGCTAAACATTAACTGTAAAGTTGGGCAAGCTGAAGTTGATTTTCACGGAACTGGCGTTCGATGTAACTCTCGAGAATTTCCATGACGCCGACGAACTTTTTCATCTCCTCGAGTTGCCGAGTCAACTCGGCTTTACGAGCCCTGGCTTGTTCCAGCCGTTCATTCACCTCCGCTAGCCGCTCTCTTAGGTTTTGCACCACCGCAGGTCTGGGTCGGGTTCGGATACGGTTCGGGTCAGTAAAATCATCCCTCGACGGCAGTCGTTGATCGCCGTAGCACATGTTTTTGCCGGAATCTTCAAATTTTGTTTGGCTAATCGATGCAATTAGCGAAGGTCCCGACGGAGTAGAAAATGGAAAATTGTGACTTAGTGCTAAATTTGCTGTCTTTCTAGCTTTAAACGTGGCAATAAGATTTTAGTGAATATAAAATTATTATTATGCTATTAAAACTAAGATAGAAATTTTAAGATCAAATTGCTATCAGATATAGAAAGATAGTCATTCTCTTTGTTATAAACTAATAAAGATAATTTCATATAAATTGATTTGAGAGTGATATTCATATTTATCATACCATATTTAAACATTGGTGGGTGAATTAAAGTGAAAAATAAAAACTCCATTGTTAGAGTTTTTAAAAGTTCGCAAATTCATAATGAGTTTTGTGATTTGTTGAAACTTTTGACAAATTTATGATTGGGTCCGTTAGGGATTGTCATTTGAAAGTTATGGTTAAAATTTGAAGCTATTCATGAAAATTTGAGCTATTTGATAATGTTTTTCGTGAGTTCAAGTTCGTTGGTGCGAAACCAAATTTGATATATGACATTATGCAACATCAAAAATAATGAATTAACTTAAGAATATAGCTAAGTAGATGCAACGTAGTGTGTTGGGGTCATACTTCTATGCAAATCTCCCTTAGAAAACTACCATCGGAAGCCTAAAAATGACTAGTGGTGACAAATCACCATTGGAGCTGCTTTTTTCAGTCACAAATTATCGTTAATAGGTCAAGAAATGACCATTGGAAGTCAACATTTTTTGAAACAATGCCTTCTAAACACCAAAAAAAATTGCAAGAAACCCCACAAACGCTATCTTACTGATTCTAATCCAAGTATTATTTATGAGGAAAACAAATAATCACAGCCAAAATGCTGAATATTATGTGGAGATTAAATCTCCCTACTAAACCAGCCAAACGACAATGGTCTGAAAAGAAGCTAAAAGCTCCTCAACAATCCTCACAATTAAGAAACTGGAAAAACAATGAAGAAAAGCAAATCAGGGCCATAGTATGACCAACATTTTTCAGCCAAAGGATTTAACTGTTGACTAACATCAAATCAAGTGCAAAACTTCAACATGACAATAACAAACACATGCATTCCACTATTCCAGTATCATCATGAGTAAATTATTACATTGAAAAAATCTACCTTCTTACTACATGTAGACCATATAATCCCTATCTTGTTTGTCCAGAAGACTACACCTCTGACTTAAGAATCCAAATTATAAAACCTAGGAAGTCAAAAACACTAACTTTGAAATTTTTCTGTAGGCTTATAACTTCAATGCTGTTGACCATGTACCTTGAACGCTTGGTTGTTTTGTAACATGTCGAGTCTTCATCTTCACCACCTTTCTGCCAAGCGAATTCCTTAGCTTGGTTGCTGCTTCAAGTACTTCGTCTTGACTCAAATTTCTCACACATACAACACGCTCATTCTTGTTTTCTAATTGTAAAGCAAATAAAAAATAATTGTAAAGCAAATCAGAATTCACTGATAGTTGCAACATAACTGGCAAAGCAAATCAGAACCCACTGATAGTTACACACATGAAATGGCACCCATTGCACACTGATTTGGAAGTTAGATGCTCATGCATGAATTTTCATCCGTTAATAGAAATTACAGGAGAAACAACTGGTTTTAAATAAACCAATACAACAAATGTACAAAGTATAATTAGGAATATTATCTTCAAAACACATATTTTGGTAAAGTACATTTATAGGTATTTGTCTTCTTTGGGACGGGGTTGTGGTTGGCAAAATGTATTTGATATGAGCAAACATATTGGCTTTGACACTTCCTTTAGCTATCAACATCAAACCTGTCCGCCGGATTGTAGGCCAAAGTGGTAAAAAGAAACCTAGGGCCTGTAATTAATATGACAGCAGGGCCAGGAAGTACTGGGATAGAGAAAAGCAAAAACCAGGTACTTCCACCAACGTTCCTCAGGATTGCAAGCTCTACTTCTGGACTGCTTAAATTTTCATTTGTCCTTTTTGCTCTCTATTTTAGTGTTTGCTAGTTGCTACTTCCGCAATTCTCTCTGGACTACCTGATCTAGATCTCTTTTCTTATTGTGTTCTACTTTGGCATATTGTTCAGAAGTAGCGCAAAAAAGGGACACAGCATCTATTTCAAAATGCACAAAACGCACGCCATCATATGCCTTTGTTACTCCATTATTTAATGCATGGTTGACTGGTTGTTGCAGTCTTCTCCTTGTCTCTAGATATGTAGAATTGGGCATTTGTTATGCACACTATAGTGGTCTGTCCTTCCTAAGGACCTAGACCTCCACAATCCTATTAGTAACCCGCTGATTGGATGACTTAAAGAGGAAGCTGGTTAAGTTGTCTTGTGTTATCTCGATAAGCTGATTCCTGGTCTAAACATTTTCATGGAGCTTGGGCAGAGTTGAGCACGACCTACCGTAAATAATCCAGCAGAGTCCAAGAGGGATTCAATTACATTTGACTCGAATGCACAAAAGGATGAATGCATAGATTCAATATTAAGGAAAGCCATGTTTTAGGCCAATCAAATAATATCTACCATCGAAGAGGTGGACGCCCAAAATAAGTATGATATATAGAAGGGACTCTGCGCGAGGCAGGAGACTATTACTCTAGGAAGGGAAGTGGGCATGCATAGGCAGCTCCCTTGTCGATGATGATAGGTGGCACACCTTTGTGGAGATAAAGAGGGTTCAGAGCCACGAAATTTGGGCCAGGTGTGATAAACCAACTAGGGAACCATGACCGGCACTTAGAAGGGCTTAACCTGTCGTCGAGAGTCTAACCCATCAATGGAATTTTAGGCAGAAGTTACCCTAGAGCTGGACAAACTCCATCCTAACATAATGAGTCTTAATGCAACTGCCTACTAGTCATAGAGGTCATTCATAGTGACAAACACATAAAACACGTCTAAGCTAAGATAACAATACATTAATGTACATAACAAACATGTTACATGTATGAAGCATCTAGAGTTTTATCACAAATGTGTGCAAATGATTAACAAAACTCAAACGTAACAAATCACGCCTCAACAGACAATATGGGGATCAGTGGACTACAGACAATTTTTTTTTTTGATAAGGTAATCACTCCTGAGGCTCAGTATCTCTGTCTTCATCTATGTCCGGAAAGATATGAAATAAGGAGTCAGTCACATCTACCCCGTGAGAGATGATATCATTCATGGCATCGCTAGGAAAATAGTTTTGTAGAAGATAATACTTGCATGTGAATTTTATAAAGTTTTGACGAGTTACATGCATGAGTCTTGTTTTGAAGTTATTATCCCAGAGACGCCATGAACGATGTTATCTCTTACCGAGTCGGTGAGGCCGACTCCTTTTACATCTATCTAGACATAGTTGAAATACTGAGCCTCATGTGTGATTTAGAGTCAGAAAAGATCCATTGAGCCCCACATGCGTAAGTAGTGAAATCGTGAAAGAAAGGACTAGAAAAAAGTATATGAGATCATGAAGATAAGAGGGAGAAGGATGGAGGGATGCAAGCCGACGGTTGGAGAATCAGAGTTTGTACTTAAGAGGTTTCCACAATATTTGCAGCAAAGACAATTACAATGGGTAGTTGGAATCGCTGAGGGTGTGAGGATACTGGATGGTAACTGAATACAGTTTATTCAAAAACAGAGCAAAACTTTTCTCCTGCTAATCACCATTTAGAAAGCTATAACTTAAAGAGGGTTCCAAATTAGAACGGGTTTCAGCCAACAAAGAGCCATAATTGAAAGCACCACCTAGAGTAGCTTTGGCACGAAGTATATTCCACTATCCTGGTTTCCCCTTTGAATAATAAATCAGGAATTTGCTTCCCTAAATTGTTTTTCAGACACTTATGCTCTTTGACCTAAGATTCTGGTAAAAATACTAGATATATGAGAAAAAAGGGAAAACCACACAATAAAGAGGGCTTCTAAACATAGACCAGAAATCGAGTGGAACCCTTTTTAGTGTCTCAATATCAGGTCTAGGAATGCCTAGGCAACCCAAGCAAAAAACAAAAGATGCTCAGGTCACAGTCTTCCCTCTCAGACACAATACTTTTTTTTTACAGCAAGGAATTGAGAGGACGCTGAGACAAGGTCTTACTGTATAATCCCTTCAAGAAAGGATGCTGACCACGATTTAGTTCAGTCACCACCTCAAGCTGTGGATTTTGCTCCTTCAATGCTGGCAATTCAGACTCCATGAATGCCCTGAAACAGTAGATACATACCTTAACATATACCATAGAAGTTAGAATCACTGTTATATATATTCCTCTACCTCAATCATCCGAAAACTAGCAGCCCACTCTTTTTCCTCTTTTCTGCTAAAAGCCTTATGAATAATTGTTAACCCATTTTGTTTTACAATCAAGAGTCTCAGTATTTCCTCTAATTACAATTCCTACATGTTTAAACTTCAAATAGGACTGAACAATTCATATGTAGAATTGCAGTATGGCCCATCAACAATATACAGAAATCAAAATATATGCAGTGATGCTTCTTAATTGATTTCCACATGAAAAAACGAACTTTCTTGTTATATCTAGATTGTGCCAATATTCCTATTAGGTTTGAAAAAGAAATTCAAATAGAAGTCAGACTAATAACATTATAACACTCAATCCATCCCATTTATCAAAGAAATAAAAATGCTCCGTTCATTCCCATTTTCGGTTGACCAATTTTCACACTTTCACTAGCACCAAAAATTATAAGACAACAAAGTTCAGAAGAGGTTATTAAATTGAGATGCATAAAGATACGCGTGAAACACTTCTAAATTTGTGAAGGTGGGATAATTATCCATGAAAAAGCATTGTCAAGGCTGAAATGATATAAACTATAAACCTCTTTCTTTTCTCTTGAGTTTTTAGCAGGAGTAACTTCCAGTTTTTGCTTCAAGTTGCAACTACCTTATCTGCAATTGCCACATTCCTTAAAAGAGTTGAACTAAAGTATTGATTTTCTAAAAGTTTCAGTTTGCATAATCCTTTCTCACTTCGTCTTACATGGAACTCGACAATCCCCAGTAGAAACAGTCTCATTATGATTCAAATTGAATGTAACAGGCCTACAAATACATATTTCCTAAAAAAGGGCAGCCCGGTGCACAAGGCATCCCACGTTCACGCGGGATCCGGGGTAGGGCCGCACCCCAAGGGGTAACGATGTAGACAACCTACCCTAATGCAAGCATTAGTGGCTGGGCACGAAATGAAGATTTTTTAAACTTGTGGTTTTAAACATATCATAACATTTGTGTGGCTATAAGAATTCTGAAACTTGTAGTCTTAAACATGTCATAACATTTGTGTGTGATAAAAGCTTGCCATTAAGGATAAAATCGAAAGTTTAAGTTACATTGTTTAAAAATTTAGAGAGTGGTAATTTTTTCTTAAGCAGACTAGAAAGAAAATAGGATCATGTAAACTGGACGGAAGGAGTAAGACAACAGGTGTCAAGTTAACCTTTACCTTATTCCTCTGCTACTGCCACCCCAATTGCAATAGCTCACTACCAGCTTCTTTAGCTGCCAAACACCTCTTAGTGCCATCTAGATCAATCACAATTATAAATTAATCATTTACAAATCATATTTGAAGCCGAAAATAGCATATTGCAGAGTGCTATTCAAAGTAAAATGTAGAAAAGGAAGCAAAGCTCCATTTCAAATTAGTGGAATCCTTTTTTTTTGGAGCACGTTTAATATAGCAGTCAATTCACAACTATGATACCAAAGTTGAGGCTTTAACTTAAGCAATGGGAACATACGCAACATTACAATCAAATTCACAAAAATTAGTGCTTTTACAATTAAAATTATTGCAAAGACATGAAATGATGAAATTATCTGTAGATAAAAAGAGAAATACATACGATTTTATTGGGTCTGAGAGACAGAATGTGAAGAGTTTTGTAGCAGAGAGGGAGAAGTAGGGGTGGACATTCAGTACTTCGGTACGGTATTAAAAAATTACGGTTCGGTACTTCCATATTCGGTTTATCATTGTCCATACCAAATACCGTACCAAAGTAGTTTGGTACGGTTCCGTATTTCTTGTTTGGTTCGGTACGGCTTCGGTTCTGATAGCCAACCAAACACTCATTTCAATAATATTAGTCAGTAATTTTCTTGCTTTGGACTATCTATGTTTCTTCAAGTTGAGTAATTTTCTTGCATTTCGATACTCTGCTAATCTACTTCATGCTATGTTTCAAATTAATCGGAATATCTTTAGCAGAAAGTGTAGTCATTAACATGGTTGATGATTCCACTTTATTAGTAGTCTTACAGAAAAGAGACCAAAGAATGTCAAATGACTCAAATCGAATCCTCGAAACCCAGCTCCAGCCTTAAGAAAATGCAGTTAAAGGCGATGAATTAAGTACAGGAATAAAAAATTAACGGCATTAGAACAAATGCACAAGACCTCAAAGCACATAGAGGTAGTATGAACTAAACCATTTTAAGGTATTTTCCACAATTGGGAGAAATAAATCACTAGAATGACAAGAAAAAGTCAATAATTGCAGAGTATACCTCGCTTTGCCTTAGAAGAATGAAGAATGAAGAAGCTGTTTTGATTTTTTAGAAAACCTAGCCTAGCGTAAGAAGTTTAATCTGATTGACTTGGGTTGTACTTTAGGCTTAGGGGTTGGGACGTTGAATCGGGAACTTGGGAGTTGGGTTGGACTTATTTATACTCGGTAACTTGTAGTAAGTATTAGTTTACCCAAAAAAAGCTTATAAGTATTATTTAAAATTTAGGTTGATACCTTAATACCGAAGACCGTATAATCGAAATATTAATATATCAATACCCAATAACGTACCGAATACCGAAAAATCAAAACCGAAATAATAACTAATTCGATTACATTCAGTCCGTTTTTTTGATTTTTCAGATTTTATGCACTTACCTGAGAAGTAGAACGTCGCCGACTTCCGCGAAGAGAAGCCCTGCCAAAATTGGAGCAATTGAAGCTCGGATTTGAATTTGAGGTAATTTGGGCTTCAGGCCGCAATCTATGCATTCGTGACAAGTGCACAGATAGCCTATTTTAGCATTTATCATTTAAATCATAGTCGCAATATTAAAAAAAATTGCAAGTTTAACCATTTTGAAACAATTTCAGGCATACGCGACTGAAGTTATAAAAATTCCCGTATGATATTTGGCTTTGGCAGGGTAAACTTTCGATATTTTTGCCTGAAATTTGACTTTTCAAGGCTAAATCTACGACATTTTTGGTTGAATTTCAGGCACTTATATATTACTACTTAGTATATTACCTCTAATAAAAACTTGTCCACATTTCATTTTATGTGGCTCCATTTTTTCTTATTAGGCCATTTCATAAAGAGTAAAGAAAATTTGATATTTAAAAATAATTTAATTTTAAACGTTTTATTTTATTTTTAATGACATACTTTTATAAACACAAGAATCTCATTATATGTTTAAGATTACAGTCTCAAAAATTTTGTGTCCTTTTTTCTTAAATTTTATGTCCAATCAAATTACGTCATTTAAATGTAACGGATAGAGTGTGAATTATTAGACTACAAAGAGAACTAATGTGTGACAATGGTAAAACTATTTTTTCTTTCCAAGTCTTGGTGGATAGAGTTACCTGGTACATGTTGCTGGTGGGAGGTGGCAGGTATCCCGTGGAATTAGTCGAGGTGCGCGTAAGCTGACCCGGTGTAACGACCCGACTTGTCGTTTTAAGAATGTAATTTCGGATTTTTGAGCTGACCACGATCGATTTTTGAGCTAATTTCGGATTGTTTTGTTGGAAAATTAGTATTTTCTTATGGAATTAATTTCAATATATTTTATTGACTGAATCGAATTATTTGTGGCTAGATTCGAGGTGTTTGGAGGTCATCAAGCAANTAATTGAAAACCATGTACGCGAGGTGACGAGTACGTACTTGGTTTATATGTGTAAATTTTATTGGGTCAAAGTCTTGAGCATATTGTGTAGTAAATTGGATAATTGTTGGCATATATTTAATTATCTACTTGTCGTGCTTAAACCCTTGTTGTTGACTCTGTTGTTATATGATAATGTGATGTGATTGTTATTTGATTATTTATGAAATTTCGTGAATTTGTTGGTTGATAATTATTGGAATTTAATTTTATTTTGGATTTTTTCCTTTGCAAATAATTAATTAAATGAGCTTAAGAAGAAGTATTTATATAATTATTGAAAATTTAAATTTAATGAATACTTTGCTTTATGTCGAGTAATTTATATCTCTATTGATTGTTTTTGGGTGTTGTGCACCTTATGGCCGAGTCATGGGCTCCTTATTGTGGGAAATAATGTATTATTGATTTCTGTGGCAAGTTGTAATATTTGAGCACTTGATGTGTAATTTGTAATATGTTGTAAGATTTGAGCACCTGATGTGCAATTTGTAATATGTTGTAAGATTTGAGCACTTGATATGCAATATGTGATATGTTGTAAGATTGAGCACTTGATGTGGAATCTGTGATATGTTGTAAGATTTGAGCACTTGATGTGCAATTTGTGAAATGTTGTAATATTTGGCACTTGAGGTACAAGTTATATTATGTTGTGATATTTGGGCATTTGAGGTGCGATTTGTGAAATATTTGTGATATTGATACGCATGCGGTGAGATAAAGGTGGCTTGAAATGCGTGGCTAGTAAGGGAACTACTAGAAGTCATGCAGTGATAAAAGGTCAGGGTGTTGAAACGCATGTGGTGAGATAAGAGTGGCTTGAAACGCGTGGCTAGTAGGGAAACTACTAGAAGTCATGCGGTGTGTTAAGGGTGGCTAAAAACGTGGGATGTTATTTCGGGGGAAAAAATAATTTGTTTAAAATTAAATGTGAAGGCTCCCGCGGTGATATAAGGAAATAAAAATATTGTGAATTTATTTATGATTTGGGATTACGAGGCGGTACCTCGGGAGTGCCCTTTTGTTGATATTTCTCTATGGCTACACTTGCCTTTGGTTATTTTATTTTTCCGAAATTTATAAATTCTTGTGTTTTTCGTGATGTATTATTTCACCTAATATTAAGTGTTTTGTATTTCTTGAGGTATTGTGTTGACCTCGACTTTTTCGTACGAGACTTTGTATTTTTGGGTTATACTTGTTTTGATGATTTAGTTGTTTTTAAATAAATAAAAAAATTCTAATATATTTTAAATTTGATAATTTTTTTAATCCAAATCAGTAGTTTATCTGATGTTTCATTTTATTTGAAATGTTATTTTTTCCACCCAAATGATTCTAAAATAAATTCATTCATTTATTGATTTCTTACTTGATTTAAAGATTTTCTAACCTTACTTTATTGTAAATAAATTGATCATGTGGATCTTATATACATTGAGGTTATTGGCACGTGAGTTATCCGTGCAGTTGAGATATGAAATGAGGGCACGAGGTGTCGGAAAAATATGATGATTTAATTATGGGCACGAAGTGCCGTGGATATATGAAAAATGGGTTGAGACCCGTATTTTTATGATTTTGAAATGAGGTGTCACATGGTCACTTTTTAATCGAAAGAATTATATTCAAAATATTTATTTCAAAGGACTTTTATTCGTAAGAATTATATGTGAAAGATAATTAATTGATGAACTTGATTTAAATAGGTGTAATTGTATTTATTAATTGTTGAGCGATATTAAATGGTAATCTTATTGTCTTACTGTGCATATCATTGGTTGTTTTATGTTGCCTTGTTGTGATATCACTGGTTGAGTTGTTGTTATCATTGCTAGTTATTTTCCAGTACTATTGTATACTGCTATATTGCACAGGGTATTAGACTAGTAAGTGTCTTGACTGTACCTCGTCTCTACTCCATTGAGGTTAGTCTTGATACTTACTGGGCACCGCTGTGGTGTGCTCACTCTGCACTTCTGCACATTTTGTGCAGAGCCAGGTATTGAAGATAACGGACTTGAGCAGAGTTAAAGCGCGATCGTAAAGATTAAAGGTAGAGGTGCTTGGCCGTCGCAGTCCCTTGGAGTCTTTTCATTTCATTGTACTGTTAATTTGAAATCAAACAATATTGTATATTCGGTCCTCGCGATCATTCCATTTATTCAGTTAGAGTTCGTAACTCAGTACTACCAATCTTGGGAGGTTGTATATTGTAATAATTTCCGTTGTTAGTTTTGATTATTTATTTAATTAAAAAAATAGCTTAAAAAATATAATAAAAATCGGCTTACCTAGTATTAGAGACTAGGCGCCATCACGACTCCTGTGATGGAATTTTGGGTCGTGACACCCAGACATCACGGTTATTAAAAAAAATGGTAAAACTATTTTTACTCTATCAAATTAGCGGTTGAAGTCTTGAGTTTAGTTTCACAAACAACGTCAATAAAATCTTTCACGTGCTTTACTTAGTGCGACACGAAAAACATAATCAAATTTGCACGTGAATTAGCATGTTCAAATTATAATTAAACGGCAAAGGGCCAAATATACCCCTATACTTTCGAAAATGATTTAAAAATACCCCTCGTTATATTATTGGGTTATCTATACCCCTACAGTCATACTTTGGGTTCAAATATATCCTTCATTTAAACGGAGGGACACGTGTCATTGTCCTGTTGGTCAATTCTAAATATCTTCTAATTAATTTAAAAAACCCATTAATTATACCCGAAAAACAATTTTTTAAATCAGTTTTTTTTTGTAAAAACTGAAATTATTTTTAATAATAACTGAACAAAACGAAAATATTTTTTTTCCAGTTTTTACAAAAAAACTGCTTTAGAAAAAATTGAATCTTTTTTTCTAAAACAATGTTTTTGAAAAAACAAGCTGAAAATCAATTTTCTAAAGCAATTTTTTTTTGTAAAAACAGAAATTATTTTTACTAAAAACTAAAAAAAATGAAATTTTTTTTTCCAGTTTTTACAAAAAAACTGCTTTAAAAAAAGTTGAAAAATATTTTCTAAACAATATTTTTGTAAAAACTGGAAAAAAAAACTTAAAAGCAAATTTCTAAAGCAGTGTTTTTGTAAAAACTGAAAAAACAATTTTTTTTCCAGTTTTTAGTTAAAACAATTTCAGTTTTTACAAAAATATTGCTTTAGAAAATTAATTTTCAGCCTTTGTTTTCAGTTTTTTCAAAAATATTGTTTTAGAAAATATTTTTCAATTTTTTCTAAAGCATTTTTTTTGTAAAAACTGAAAAAAATAAATTATTTTTTTTCAATTTTTAGTAAAAATAATTTCAGTTTTTTTCCAGTTTTTACAAAAAAAGATTGCTTTAAAAAATTGATTTTCGGGTATAATTAATGGGTCTTTTTAATTAATTAGAAGATATTTAGAATTGACCAACATGACGATGACACGTGTCCCTCCGTTTAAATGAGTGGTATATTTGAACCCAAAGTATGACTGCAGGGGTATAGATAACCCAAAATTATAACGAGAGGTATTATTAAACCATTTTCAAAAGTAGAGGGGTATATTTGGCCCTTTGCCGATAATTAAATATCTATCTATACTAATTTAAGAGTGGAAAGCTATAAACTAGAAGTAAAAGACTAAAATACCCCTTTTAGTGATATAGTTTTATATTTAATAACATTAATAATTAAATAAAAAACTAAGCAAATATTAGAAAAGGTGCCGTCCATTACTAAGGG